TTTAGTTTTTTCGTTTTTTGCGTGTTAGAAACATCATTATCTGTTCATGGTGAATCCTGCAGATAATTATCCTGCTCTATCCTCTGATGGGCTCACTCAGACTTCTCTGGAGTTCTTAGGGGGCTGGCAGGAGAAAGTCCAGAGCACCTGATATACGTTCTCACATACAGACATTCCTAATATTTCTCCTGAGTTCAGCGAATGTCTGAGAGCAGCTTATGATGACTCATAGACTCTGCAGCATCCTACCATGATTTACAATTGACAGAGTCTTACCCAGGTCCTTCATCAGAAAGGCTCTGTAGCATTTTTTCTGCAGAGCCGACATGCCATGGTACATAAGCAGCTCCGTCTTCTTCGGCAGATCGACAGCTACCTCTGACTTGACTCTACGAAGCAGGAAAGGCTCCAGGACGCTCTGCAGCTCAGCAGCTGGAAACAGAGACACAGCGACACAGTAGACCAGTGTTGAGCAAGTTCAGAATTCTCTGTGCACATCAAGTAAATAACAAATCATTTTTTTCGAGCCGATAACAAATTTTGCTGAATGTAATCCAAACATTTTGACAGGATAAGTATGCATCATACCAAGAGCAGGCTGTTGTAGTACATTTGAGTAAGACTTGACGAAGACATCCGTCTCCTCAGCGGTGAAGATGCTGGGCTGAATGAAGTTCAGCAGGGAGTAGATCTCCTGCAGGTTGTTCTGAATGGGCGTTCCTGTCAGCAGGACTGTGAACTCCACTGAAAACTATGGAAAAAATACAGGAAAAAAACTCAATCACCTTGTCAGGGAGAAACAGGGCCAATAGTGGGGAAAATAAGGAGACAAAAAGTTGACACTGTACCTTTGTCAAAGTTGTGTGCAATAATGACTTCTGATTCTTTAATCGATGAGCTTCATCTACCACAAGCACCTTCCACTTCCACCTGGGAAACAGAATGTGACAGTGCGTGGACACACTGAGGCAACCCATGAAAATTCATCATATCTATCGCTTTGAATAAAACATCACATATAATGACATTAATTGTTTAATCGGTATCTTAATGAACAAAAGATGTGATAACATGTTAGTTACATGTTCATCCCATGTACTATTACACATATGAACTCCAAGGTAACAAGGGCCAGATCATATGCGATAAATGAAGAAAGATAATAAAGGTAATGACTGTTAATAATTACCTCCACCGAGGTCAGTTTGTTTTTTGGTTTGCATCTGTGATTGTTTTTTGGAAAGCAGGATACACAAAAACAACTGAACACGTTCAACATAAATTGGTGGAAGGATGTGGTATTGGTCAGGGAAGAATCCATTACATTTTAGTGTTGAACCATGAAAATTGTGATTTATTTTCCCAGGGAAGGATTCATGGCACTTGATTAAATAAATCATGCACATTTAGGTAAATGAAATCTACGAGCGTGTGAAATTAAGTGCAGCTTGATTCAATTTCAGGGGACTGCTGGGGCCTTGGCGGAGGTCTGTGCTCTCCTGTGTGTCATTCTAGTTTATATGCAAATTAAATGTTGAGGTCTACTTAACGAATTCATTCATCAATAATTTCATTTCATTTGTTCCTACAACTGGTTCATGCAGGATTTGCTTGGTTCAATTTTTGTCAAGCAGGGAAGCAACCATTTCTTATTTCAAATTCCTGCTGGTAGTTGTGTAACAGATCACACTCACCGTTTCAGGAATGAGGTATCTTTGAGACAGAGCTGGAAAACACAGGATGAAAAAAAACAAACATGTCAGTTTTAATACAGATGAAACTTTAGGTCATTTTGTTTTCACTAAACAGCCACAGACCTCATATGTAGTGAGAAGAACATGGAAGTCCTGTGTATCTGTTCCTCTCTGAAGCTCAGCTCGTTTCTCTTTGTCTCCCGTGTAACACAGCACAGTCAGAGAGGGGGCTAAGCTGCAACCAGCAGAAACACAAGTGGAGAATTTAACTTTTACATACAGTACAGCACCCATTCAAATTAAAGCTAAGACTTGGCACTTTAATGTAGTGTGTCCATTGTTTCATTTATTAATTAAATGTGTCGATGCTCAGAACCTAAAGGAAAAAATTATCCACATATCTGTGTTTGGGACTGTTGTTTGAGATTGATAATGATTCATAATTTAAATACAATTTTTAAATCATGTAGAATCACAGGTAAATGTGACAGTACCATTCCAGCTCTCCTCTCCAGTATTCCACGACAGAGAGTGGGCTCAGGACTAAAAACGGACCTTCACTCCCAAGAGCTCCTGACATGTACACCAGCAGAGAGATCGTCTGAAGGGACAAATTTCAATTATGAGTCAGGGGATAAAAGTGCCTGTGCTATTTATGACACATGCGTTAAAGACAATTAAGTTCAACTGACCAACTCAGTAGTTGACTTTTGTTCTGGAAACAAGCTACAGGTCCATGAATTATTGATCCATGGTACACAGATATATTTAGCACTTTACACTACAGGCCACATTCACTAATTCACACAGTTTCAGACAGAGCTTCTTCAACACACACACACTATAACAGAAACTAGGAAATGTTTGGAATATCTGCTTTAAGAATGAAATAGTTGCTGAATGTTTTTTTGTTGAATGAGTAAAAGATAAATTCTATTTGACCTATGAATCAGGGCAGGTTTACTTTTTATAGAAGACATTTCAAGTCATATTAGGTGAAAATAATACACATAAAATATCGTTGGCTGAACTCCTTCACTGTCAGCATCCTGCTGTGCTCTGCGGCTCACTGCCACACTGTCATGATTAAACGGAACAGAGCCTGGGTCATGAATCCAGGAACAGCAACTAAACTTTTCAAACTGACGGAAAATCACAATTATATCTACATCCTTACTACCACTGAAGTTTCTACTACCACAGAGTCATATCTGTTTAAAACACAGTTATGCATCACTATGACAACTTAAAGTTAGTGACTGATGGATCACACACCTGACAGGTTTTACCCAAACCCATCTCATCTCCCAGGATGCATCCCTGCTGGCTCTGCAGACACTGGGTCAACCACTGCACACCGTCCAGCTGGTAGCTCCTCAGCTGGATCCCTGAGAGAGAGCGGGACAGTTCACCACTGCTGAGTCACACATGTAGACCATGACAGGACATGAAGGAGACTAGACCAAAGTACAGTTACACTCGTTTCAACTCAGCGGCTCAAACCTGTGAGTGAACGAAGCTACACGGAAGTAACAGACTTGCGTTACTAAGGTAACGAGCCCCTGTACCTGTGAGCCCGCACCTCTGCAGCTCACTCCGGGACACGGGACTCTTCTTCTTCTTCTTCTTCTCTGACACGCTGGACTGAATCCTCAACAAGAAGTCGGACATGTTTCCACGGGGACAGGACCACTGCAGTCAGACATGTGCAGGCAAGTCGTCTGTTGTTGTGACGTCCGGCTACACTTCCTGACTGCGTCACGTGACAGTGCGAGGGAAAGTCGCGCGCCAGTTCAATTCAAATTCATTCTTATTTGTATTTGTGTCGAATCACAACATGCATGGTCTCGATGTATGTAAAAAAATGAATTGATTAATGAAATAAATATTCCTACATTTATTTATTAATTCATTTCTACATTTATTTATTGACATATTTCTACAATGTGTTATTTTTGCATTTACTTCATACATTTATTAATTTATTAATCAAATTCTACACTATTTATTAATTTATTTGCTTTTATTTTATTTTTTATTTTGTACACATTTATTTATCAATTTCCTAATTCATTTATTTCAACATTTGTACATTTAAATAATTTCTGTATTGTAGAATTGTTTAATTCTGTATTTCTATGTCCATATGTTAATTCAACTTTTTTACTTATATCATATTTTTGTCCTTCATGTTCTGAGGCACTTCACAGAGTAAGATGGAGACATTTTTGCCATTTAACAAAACAGTGACCATATGTTAATGTGCTCTGTAAATACATGTGTAGGTGCATAAATGTGGATGTTTCCTGTATGATGTTTTCTTTCATGAAGAAGAATCAATTAATTTAATTCACACAACCTAAATACAAAATACATAAACATAATATAAAAGTAGAGTAAGCGAACATAAATAATGTTTATCAAGTATTTACACAGACAAGACCTACTAGGAATATTTATTCAGTGTAGACTGGGGTCTTTTGTGTGATTTGTTGATAATGATAAATAAATAAATAAATAAATAAAAGGTTCTGGGACTTTATATCACTTGGCCTTTTTTTTTTAGGTAAGGTCGTAACTCTTTCCATTTACAATATGCAGCCATCCCCAGTATTGCCTCTTAGGAAATTTGCTCCAAAGTTTCCAGAGTATAATGGATTAGTACAGTCTTGTAAAGTCTTTCAGACAACAGCTCAACAGGATTCGAGCCCATTCTTCAAAATTATAGTGCTTTTAATTGTTGGCCTATAAAGTAAAAATAAAAATGAAACTTTAATAAATTATTTTTGTAAGACTGAACACATTTTATGAATGATATAAACATAAGAGCAACAGTTCAGCAAACACACTGGATAATAAAAGTCAAAGTAAAAATAAATCTCTTGAGAAGCTAAAATCAGTCACTTCTTTTATATATTTTATACTTTTATTGTGAATATCATGGAGCTTCAGTCTTTAACATACTGTCATTAAAATAAGAACAAGGTTTTAGATTGCAGATAAGTAAAACATAAATGTTAATCACCTCTAACTGACCGTCATGAGCCAGTCCTTATTTTGCTATGAACTGACTTAATCTTCCCTTTGACACATTTCACAGTTCATAGCCTTGCTTGATATATAATTTTAACTTGTGAAAGTATGAAATAGCAATAATAAAAAAACATTTTGTAAGCATGTTGGACATACATGTTTTACTCTGTTACAGCACTTGAATTATTGATCTTTTAAACTCATACTTAAATATATTTCCTGTGCTTAAATGTATTCCTCTCAGTGATGGAAATAATGAAGTTGACGGAGTAATTTACAAAACCATTAACAATCATTTATTACAAATATTTACATATATTACAAAATATGCCCACATGTAAAACTTGGTCTCAACTGGAGTCATCAATAACATAGTAATTCATAGCAAAAATGAATCAATTAAATTAAAAGAGGAAAAAGAGACATACTTGGAGATAAAAACATGTGATGTATTAACAGAGGAGGGCTGAGCAGCGGTAAGAGTCACAGACTCTGAAGCAGAATAATAATATATAATAATAACATCAATAAGGACACGCCCATTTCACTTCATCCAGCCTCAGGCTTCAGCATGAAGACGCGGCTCATCTCATGCAGACCGCCAACATCCTCATTATGGCCTCCCTGGAAAGAAACGCACATGAATCAGATGTGCAGACGAGGCTCTGAGGGGCAATGTGATTGTGACCATTTATGCAGCTGATTTGGATGATGGGTATTAAAATGACAAACCTCACACATGGGATGTATGACAGACTGTACCTGGACACAAAACACACCTGTGTCACACACTGACAGGAAATTCACACTTGAAGCCATCAGTTAAAAACTCAAAGAGAAATTCTCACCAGGCAAATGACAAGACTTGTAAGATGCAAAATAACAAAGCAAGTCCAAAGTTCTTCCACTGTAAGAAAACAACACTGCAATGAAACACTGGACTTATACAAAACAGTATCACACAGATAATTGTGTACAAATGATTTGTTAACATAACAAAGCTTTTCTTTTTGTTTGTAGCTCACTTACCCAGAAAGCTGCACAGAGAGTCAACACCAGGCAGGTCTACAGCAAAGAATGAGACATGTTATCAACAACCTGGACTTTCTGGTAGTAGACACTGATTAATGGTTCCCCATCATCTGGTAATGGTTTCCAACACTGTATTATCAAAATTACATCCATTCATTATCTACACAGCTTGTCCTGTAAGGGCCGTAAGGCTAGGGGAGAATCCCAGTATCAAAATTGCTTAATTTTTTTATTCAATATTTTATGATCAGGACAATTTCAAGGTATTTTTGGGGGCTCAGGCAATAACTGGCTGTATTATATTCCATGTGCATGAGTGTATCAACCTCACCACACCCATGTCTGTGCATGCAATACACAGACCACTCCCTCGCTGACGCTGCTCCCTTCATTCATTCATTATTAATATTGTTTTAGACTCTATGGAAACGTGTGTTTTAAAAACAGATTTAAGTTGTAAGTATGTGAAAATTCTGGCGACTCAAACTCTTTCTTTCAATTCATCATGCCATATAGTGCCATTCTTTACAATCTGTCCAACATTACCCTGTACTGTGTAAGCACAAGACACTAAGTATTTTAGCTATATGCTAATTAGTGCAGGGACACATCAGGAAAAAAACACCTTTATTTTTGGCGGTAACTTAATCCATCTTTATCAGGAACTGACAAACATTTTAACTGGAATCACTTTCTTATGGTTTCATTTTCATGTGTGATTTGCTTGAGTATATTTCTTGCAAAAATAAAAAAAAAGGACATACAATTCTCAGTTTTCCTAACACTGCTGAATGCCACAACATTTTGCTTTTTAATTTCCTTTATAGAAGAAGTGTAAAAGACTGAGGGTAAATAAGGCTGCGTATATTTGATACCGAGAGAGGAAAACTCATTTCAGTGTGAGGGTCTAATGGAGCACAAACAGAAAGAAAATCAACATTAGCTTTGTGCACTTACAATCATAATAGCAGTGGCCAGTGCTCTTGTTTTGTCACACATCCTCTTCAGCTGCTTCAGTGGCCCCATCAGAAACATGGTGCTGTAGAACAGGGGCCACACGTTAACAAATGTGTTAACATGAAAATAGGAAATACTTTTTAAAGTTTATGTTAGGACTGGACAATATGGCTGAAAATTGAAGATGAAGATATTGATGATT